AAAAGGTTATCAAGCAGGGGGAGGGGTGGGTGAATGGAAATTTCAACAAATTCTTCAAAAAGACAAAATAATTTGGTAAACTGAAAATAACATGATAGCAATATAACAGTTCACAGAGAACTAAGGGGCATACAACAAAATTGTTAAGTAAACAGAATAACATAAAACATGCTATCACAGAAGCAGAAGACAAATATGCTAAAGTTGCGAGTAAACAAAACAAGCTAAGCAGGAGCAAATACTTCACACAGTACAACAATTAGCAAAAATCTAAGCAGCAGAATAGAATGAAAGTGTTCAACTATCTTCGCAACAATCACAGAGAATGAAGGAAGGAGAAGATTCTTCAAAACAAAACAAACTACAAAAAGTAAAGTAGACCGAGGAATTAGAGCATGTTCCTTGAAGAAGACAATGCCATGTGTTTACCCCAGTTCAAACTGCTGACAAAGTTCTATGTCTGGGTTGGAGAAGCTGATCACACTACTACACAAGTCTTCGCCTTGTTCTACTTGAGCTAAGTCCTTGGAAATTGACCAATCACTCGTGGTACATCTTGCGGTGATCTCCAAGGCGATACAAACTTGCTCTTCGGTAGTTCCACACTTTGGATGCTCCTGGTCGACTTCTAAACGCCTAGAGGATGCACAGTCCTCAAGAGTTGTAACGCCCCGGACACACCTGCCGGTGATCGTTACTAATGGCGGGATCTAGACTGGCCCCATAGATCAATACCAGTCTTTTCTGCGCACTTTGTCCTCACTCATGCGCACCCGGGAGCAACTTCCTGGTTTGTCACCCATCCTGAAATTACTCCAAGCTGAGCACGCTTAACTTTGGAGTTCTATCCAAATGGGCTTCCAAAAAAAAAGAATTCCTTATTGATATGAGTAGTTTATCATCCCTATTAAGCCAGGCTATCACATACACTCCACTTAGAGGAACCGACGTCCTTGTCGGGCCACAGGAACGTTCCCTCTTGGCACATACGTCTGTGCTTCCAATCTGGCACATGTGCCATGCCGTGTGCCACGACGGTTCACAAACGTCATGCACAACATGACCGCGCACCTGTCCGCAAATATCAGTGTAACCGCGAGGGTCGGCTCTGATACCAACTTGTAACACCCCGGACACACCCGCCGGTACATCTTGCGCTACATCTTGCGGTGATCTCTAAACCGATACAAACTTGCTCTTCGGTAGTTCCACACTTTGGATGCTCCTAGTCGACTTCTAAACGCCTAGAGGATGCACAGTCCTCAAGAGTTGTAACGCCCCGGACACACCTGCCGGTGGTCGTTATTAATGGCGGGATCTAGACCGGCCCCACAGATCAATACTAGTCTTTTCTGCACACTTTGTCCTCACTCATGCGCACCCGGGAGCAACTTCCTGGTCGGCCACCCATCCTGAAATTACTCCAAGCTGAGCACGCTTAACTTTGGAGTTCTATCCGAATGGGATTCCGAAAAAGAAGGAATTCCTTATTGATATGAGTAGTTTATCATCCCTATTAAGCCAGGCTATCACATACACCCCCACTCAGAGGAACCGACGTCCTTGTCGGGCCACATGAACGTTCCCTCTTGGCACATATGTCTGTGCTTCCAATCCGGCACATGTGCCATGCCGTGTGCCACGACGGGTCACAAACGTCATGCACAACATGACCGCGCACCTGTCCGCAAAATATCAGTGTAACCGCGAGGGTCGACTCTGATACCAACTTGTAACGCCCCGGACACACCTGCCGGTGGTCGTTACTCATGGCGGATCTAGACTGGCCTCATAGATCAATACTAGTCTTTTCTGCGCACTTTGTCCTCGCTCATGCGCACCCAGTAGCAACTTCCCGGTCGGTCACCCATCCTGAAATTACTTCAAGCTGAGCACACTTAACTTTGGAGTTTTGTCCGAATGGACTTCCAGAGAGAAGAAATTCCTTATTGATATGAGTAGTCTATCATCCATGTTAAGCCAGGCTATCACAAGAGTAACAGGTATTCAGTTAGGCGTCTAAACGCCTAGAGGATGCACCGTCCTCAAGAGTAACAAGTATTCAGTTAGGCTCGTTCAAATTCTTCGATGATACTTAGCCACTTTAGGCATTTTGGCTCTGGGGTTTTTACTCACTTGGGATTTCTCTCAAATTTGTCGGAGGAAGGGTTGCTCATACAACATTTGTCTCAAATTCACTTGGAGGGGCGGGCAGGGAGGCTATTTATAGCCGGTGAGCAAACACACGTGGGTGATATGAGCATTGGAGGCGCACTCCCAACATGCACGCGACATGTGGTAAACAGTCAAAGCTAAAACTTTGACCAAATGGACAAACTTAGTCGGCAAGTTTTCTAACTTCTAAGCGGGGAATTTTATCAGGGCATCCCCGAAGACTTAACTTTAGCACCGAAGCTAAATAACTTTCTTGAAAGGATATTTCAATGTCTCACTCTTTGAAGAAATAGGCTGGGTTGAGTGCGCACATGCGAAGACTTCAAACTAGCTTTCACTTCGACGCCCTTAATATTACGGTTTACCCTACTACTCAAATGAAGAATAAAGACACTAGTAAACAAAAGTCTACACAATAGCTTACAGTTCTTCAATAGGCATTATGAAGTCCTCAATGTTCTCAAAAACATTTTTAGGGGTCATCACCCACCGGTTAAAACAAAATCCTCAGGGACTTTCACCAGTGTATACTCACATACACATTAGTCCCTTAATGTTTTGACAGTAATCATCCAAAACCCACTAATAGCACTAGATGTACTTATAATCTCCCCCGTTTGGATGATTGATGACAACACAGTTAAAACTTCAGTGATGAGTAATTAAAGTGGTGATGATTTTGGATTCTACGATATAGAAATAGCTCCCCCTGAAGCTGTGCATATACAAGAATTTGCGTTTGAATGCAAATGCACATGGCAAGATGAACTGTGAAGAGCTCCCCCTATATGTTGGAATTCTTGGGCATTTATTGTGTAAAAGATATAACATGGATAATAAAAACAATGCATGAAGCAATGATCTATTATAATATCATCATGCATATAGAATAAACGAATTTAAGCATGCATGAGGAATTAAAGTAGCAAACGTATAGATCATCACATAACTTAAGAGTTTACAAAACAAATTAAAGAACAAGTGTTGTAACTCGAAGCAAACCTGCCCAAAAACTCATGAAGCACGCTACATCCTCTCCCCTCATCAAATGTCCAAGAGGTTCGAGGGACATACAATCTATACTTCTTAGGCGCCATCTGATGAATAATTTTGTGTAGGCGCGATCGAAGGAGCTTCAGGTTGGATGCTTGGAGCATCTTGGCGATGAACTGAAAGAGTCAGTGGTGAAGCAACAGCGTCATCCATGTCATACATATCAAATGATAAAGTATTAAAGGGGCTTGTGTCCGAAGGAGATGGAGTCCGACACTGATAAAATACAGAAGGAATGTTTTCAGTCCAATGATACTTCTCTTCAGTACCCATCCTTTTGAGTTCTTTGACAAAACAGTGCTTTCTCAGGGTGACTCAGGAGCGACTCATTTGCTCAGTTGCAGAGTGTCGGTTGATCCTAATGAAATTGATACCAATGTTGATCTATGCCATCATTGTGGCCTTTTGCTTCTTATCTTCCTTATTATGCTTCGTCAACTCCTACTTGATTTCCATCAGCATCTCACAATTAGTTTGAGGCTCAGGATTAACTCTTTTGTGAAAAAATG